AAACGAATGAAAATTCATGGGTATGGCCATTTACGCCAATTGATACAGGGACAATGGACAATACTAAGCAGTTTCTCTTATTTACTATTATAAATATTACTCAAAAAGCAATAAACTAACCAGATATTCACAAAAATTATTTATGATCAAAACAGAATGCTTAAAAGTAATTGCAAAAGGATTTGTTGAGTAATTAAAAAAAAAAAAAAGGAATGATTGTCAGGAGATGACCTGATTGTGGGAAGAGGCACTTAATTCATTGCATGAATGACTCACAGTGAATTACTTGCATAACTCCACTTGCAGAAATCCCTGCTCTGCAAAAGTGCACACATGCTAAATCAACCAAAGCACCGTGTGGTCCGTATTCCCGGTCTTAAGTCTTCTTGCCAGCCCAGAATGAACAAAAATGTGACATCTCTCAGTTTGGGAAGGAGGAAAAATAAATTCTCTTTTTTGGTGTCCTGGCAATGTTTTCAAGAAAAAGTTCTACAGCATTTTCTTACCCTATTCATGCACTGCACTTACGTTACAAAAAATCTGGGCCTGTAATATCGAAGAGCAACCTTTGCTGATAATGAAATTTTGACTAATAATTTTGAGGCTGTTATTTCCCATCCAATCTAATGTAATGCCATAATTGTTGTCCTTTTCTGCAAAATACTCTATAAAGAACTTTGTAAGACTGTTGATTGCAACGAACATTAGCAAGACTTGCTTTCTTCAGGCTACTCTCAGGATAAATAAATCCCTCTTTGCTATTAGCTGTGGTTGAACTGTGAGATACAAAACTTACTGCAATTGAAGTAAACTATTTTTCACTATCCCCCAAGTCTTAATTTCACATACCATAATGTATAGGAAAGGCTCAAAAAAAAAAAAAAGAAAATAAGCCATAGCTCTCTTGTAAACCTTGCGTGTCTGACATGATCCGAGCGCCATGCTCATACTCCTGCGCAGCAGGCTAACACCTGCAGCGCTATCTCTGACAATAGAAGGGCCGGGTGCTGCAGGAACTGGGATCTCAGCTGCCACCACTCCTCTGGGGTGAGAGCAGGAGTAAACGTGAGCCAACCCATCCTGCAGCCTGCTGCAACTGCAAAAAAAAAAAAGAAAAAGAAAAAGAAAGAAAAAAAAAAACAGAGCTCCCCCAAAGCAAGAGACCTGGAATGGAGGCCTTACCTCCTCCTGGTGTTTGTGCAGTTTCTACTAAGTCCCAGCTTCAGCGGTCAGTGTGGCCCTGTGTTTTTACATATTAATATTGCTCTAAATCCATGAACCAGCTCAATACACTTATTTATGAAATTTATGCTTGCTTTGTGGGCAAGTTCAGAAAGCACATCTTTGGCTATTTGGTTATTTGTCTTTCAGACAAGCAGACAAGTCCATCTCACCCAATTCTAACACAAGAATTGCTATGACTAACACGGAGCACATGAATTTGGTAGGTGCACACGCTGTAAGCATGTGCTGCACCAAACCAAGCCAAATTCACTTACAGGAGGTTAGGATAGCTGCATTTGGGTTTTGGGTTTTAAGGAGGAATTTTGCTAGAAACATAAGAAATCTTTTACAAATATTCCAGCATCACATCTTATAAAAGGATAGATGACAATTAATCGTGCATTTAGCAGCAGTCTTACTGCAGTCTTACTTAGAGAGTGTAGCAAGCTCTAGGATTGATGCAGCATAAATCTTGTATTAAAACCTTACACCACAATAATAGATCTAAGTGTTCAACATAGTAAGCAGACACAGGAGAAACCCTGAGGAGTTTTTAGAAATGAGCAGTTTTACAGTGTTTTGTTAAATTAAGCAACAAATTCATCAGACAGATGCACAGCATGGAAAGAGAGGATATCAGATTTTGGAATTGTGCTGCTAGCCCATTTCACCCGTGCGTCCATTAACTTTCCACCTTTTGCCTGTCCAGTCCATTCAGCTTGGCAGCTTTTTGAGGTAGAGACCATCTCTGATCCTGTACTTTTGTAATGGTACTGTTTTTTTTCTTCAAGTTATATCATAGTTTTGGAAAATCTATCTGAATTACTTTCTAGTCCTTGTCATTGAGGCAAAAAAAGCTTGAAAATGTGATCTGTGAGATCTCTGAAATCGGAAGACTGGTAAAAGCAATCTGAAACGTACTGTTCTGTTTTATACCTCATAATGGAAGATTTTCAACACTTGCAGGTTGGCAATGCCACAAAAAAGTGTTGTTTGGAGCTTTCAGGCATGACTTATACTTAGCACAGCCCTGCGTTTCTGCCTTCAACTGCACGTTTACAATGACGACAGAATTCTGTACACTTTTAAGAAACGCATTTTATTGTATGACAGTTGCTGTCATGTGGACAACAACAAAAGAAATCATTCCATAACGATAACAATATCAAATTATTATACAAATGCCAAGGAAACTCAGGAAAAAAAACAGAGTTAAAATGATGAAAAAGCAGTGCCATGTTACACAAAGTAAAACATACATAAAGCCACATTCCTCTGCTAAAGTGTCAGAAGCTCATTGCTGTTACAGGAAGTAACTGATCTTATTTTTTCCTTTTTCCTCAAAAAATAAAAGGCAAACATACCAAGATATTTGGAAGGATCAGATTAACATGAGAAGCAGCGTTTTCAGGAAGGTTTATATACCTTTTGGATCGTCTGTCTCCTTTTGCTTCTTAATTTTATTTTAAACATGTATTGGGAAGGTTACAAGAAACAGTCAACGTCACTTAAACAACCAAGATTACTGATCTACCGATCTTGGCCAGAAGCACATCTTCCCTCTTCCAAAGAGCAGTGTGAATGATACTGCAGAAGACTACAACTATCTTGCAAATGAGCTCTGGCTCGGTTCACTAAACAGAATTTTGCCCACAGAACAAGCAAAACACCAGATAACCTATTCTTGAGAACTGTGTTGGTTTTGACTGTACCAGTGGTCTTTTGATGAGGGGTGGAGCAAAGATATCCCAAAATTAATGTCTGAAATACAGTTCTTCAGATCAAAAGCAGAGGCTGTTACTAGTCTCTTACACCAAATAAACAACAGTTCTGCAAATGATGATTTTCAGACTTACTGTATAAAATGGTACCTATTAGAAAGAAGACTTCAGAATACTTTAAGGCACCTCGTGGTGAAGAAATCTTTCAAAGGCATTAATAGCTCAGAAGACTGAGTTCTTTTTCCAAGATCCCCATGAAGGAATGTAACTTACAATAACCAGTTTTGCTATTTCTGAATAAATCATGAGTGTTTTCAGAATGGACGTTTATAGTTGCACTTTTCCTTAAAAGGAAATATAGAAGACATTGTCAGAAAGATAATTTGTACATTTCACAGATCAAGACAGTCATTGAAGAAGGATCTTTCCCATATCTGATTTGAGTTTTGCCATTCAGGCACATTGCACTTTTTTGCTCCACTGAAATTAAATGGATCAGCCTTAGCAAATAGTCAGCTAAACAAAACAAGTATCAAGAAAAACAACAAAAGAATCTGAAAAACTATTTCCTGATTAAAACATTTTTGTTACATTCTTTAAACTAAAAAGATGGATATAATGCCAATGACAGATATGGATGACTCACTACTAGTTGCTCTATACAGTAATTTATGGGTTTCCAGTGTGATTTTTTAATCTGAATTTTCTTACATTGATATTTGATACATAGAGCTAGTAATGTCCTGTGAAAACATGTGAAGAAGTAGAATCAGTATTTTCAGAGATTCCTAACATTTTTGTGCACGTTCAAAAAGCTACAGTATCAAATTAATTCTAGCTTATAGATTGATAGCTAGATCTGTCAGGGTCTCACACCAGTGGCTCTGCAGCAGCCAGCATCTTGGAGTTCTGCTCTGGAATACAACTTACTATAGATTCATTGCAGAGCTGAAATGTACTAAAACTATAATTATACCCTTGGTTCATACACATATTTCTCCTTGATTTTGATAAAAAAATAAACTCAAGACATAGGGCCAGGAGAACGCACTGTTCTCTTAGAGTACGTAATTACTCCTCCATGTATTATACATAGTACTTCCTCTCTTGTAAGAATTAACTACTTAGAAATTAAAAGAATGCACTTTTGTCAAACAGGATTAGACTCGGTGGGTGTGTCCCTACTGGTCAATAAAAAAAGATAAACGCAAATAAGCTCAAGCACCAGGCCACACCACGTTACAGTGAGCTCACTCCCTAGCTCTGCTTTGGATCACTCCAGCTAGATCTCTCAGTGATAAAGTTTGGGCAGAGCCTGAGATACTTCACACCATGGATCCCTTCCAAAAGGCAGCAGAGACAAGACCATGTGAGCTTGGACTATCTTCACTCCCTACACAGTCCCCCAGCATCATACCAGGTGACCTGACACACTCAAACACTTCTTTACATCTTCACATACCTCTGCTATACAAACATCACTCTGCTGAGCTGCAGAATGGCCATATCCTTATTTCAGACACCTTGAACTTGAAAAGGAAAAAAAACAAAACAAAGCATACAGGATAATAACTGTGAATTAGATCCACAGGCGGACTGCCGGGGCCCAGAGGACACCAAGGGCCAAGTGATATGGGATGTGGACCTGGCTGGCATGCTCTAGAAGGGATTAGCCATAAGCACCGCTTACATGAGCTGGTCTGTGCCATTCGGCTTTGGGGACAGGTACATGTCCCTAACCCTCTTTTGTTCAGCACCAGACATAGCACAAGAATCATGTTCTGCAGCACTGTGTAAAGCTCAGTTCCATAGATTTCAATGGCATTGATTATAGTGTAAGGTGCTACACACCAAAGAAAAAGTGTCAGAACCTGCCAAAAAAAATAAAAAGCCTAAGGACAATGTATTTCATTTTGTAACATCCTATTAACAACACAAGAGATTGCTACCAGAAAACCGGCTGCCACCCCTGTGCAGGCCAGCAAAGCAGAACCAAGGAAAGCAGAGGTGGATTGCACGTGGCTCTCAAAACCACCTCCAGGAGTGCTGCATCTCCTGCGCCTCAGCTCTGCGGCATCCGCATCCCTCTTCAAACTGAAGGGGACAGAGAGAAACTGGGGAAGCGTGAGCAGCAAGAGGTACTCGCCTCTCTCCTGGTATTTCGCGGCAGGACTGTGAGCCCTGCCACAGGAAAGGTGCTGCCTGAGGGAAATGAAGCTTCTGCCTCTCGCCACTGGACCGGGTTTCTGTGCAGGACAAAGACCACCTAGGTCAGCCCTTATTCTGAGGCACAGGTTTTGGCCTCAGTTTACTTCCCAATAAGGAAAGAGAAATTTTGTATTTGAATCAGTTATTTGCTGGTAGAACTGCTTGGAATGAGAAGCAGTGGAGTCTGCCTTAGATTTAGACCACTTTTTCACTGGGTAAACAATATTTATCTTACAGCAGCGATAGCGAGCATCTTCAATATTTTTTGAAAAGTACAGTATTTTCTGTGTCCTGAAAAGATCTGTTACTTTCTAGTCTTTCCTGTGCCATTTAAACAGCAAGATTTATTCTGCATTGGGCCTCAAAGAGTACGTATCTCACTAAACAGGAAAAAATCTGAAGCAGCATAGCACTTGCTTGCTTTTAAGCATGGGAATTGTGTCTTTACATTAAAGTGCTTTGCTGAATCAGGACATAACATATGAACGCAGAATCTCTCTCTCTCTCACTGCATCCTTCTCACTACCAGCCATTCAAAACTACAGCTTGTACTTTCCTACCTCTTTCAGTAGGATGGTAACTTCAAACAGCTTGAGCTCAAGAGAACCCCTCACGCAAAATTTTAAATATACTAAGGTTAAATATTTGTGAAGTATATGTAATGAATTTGTTGTCTACCCTGCAGTTATAGCTTTGGCTTGAAGGCACAAATATTAAGGCACAATAAATGCAAATAATGTATACATTTCAATGTGTTGTGCTGAAGATAACTTTGTACTACATGGTATTTAGGTATAATGACATGTCATTCAAACGTTTCCTCAAGTTATTTTAATACTTTTTTCTTTGATAACGTGGATAAAAAAAGGAATGTATGTTAAATTATTTAAATATTTCCTCAGTGCAAATGTGGTAATTTTCTTCTTAAGTATAGAAGATTGATATTGATTTTTCAGCATAATAAAGCAATATTTACATTCATCTTGGACAGCATTATTTGAATTATTTATCAAAAAATAAGTATATAGCACTTTTTGCTATCAAAAAGAAAAGTTTTTTTGGCTTGTTCAATTCTTGTTTCTGCCGAACTACAAGATAGGTATAAAGACAGTTGCATTAGACAACTAAAGTTGTAGACTACCAAATCTGCTGTTCAGATGTAGTTAGTGTGTTAAAGTGACACTGAACAAATTTTGTTTTTGCTTGCTCTCACAATATTTCCAAAAGAGAAAAAGGATACATTTCAATTTTTTAATAAGCTCCAAAAATGCACCCTAGATCTGTTAGGTGTCCTGCACCTGTTTAAATAAAAGAGATCTCTACCACATAATTTTCAAATAAAAACTTAGTCTGTCTAATTTCCTTAGCAATAAAAACATACTTAGTTGGAAAGGAAAACATGTATTGCACTGAAATTAAAGAAACAGGCACAGAAAAACATTTCTTCTCAGTGTTAAATAGAAAGGATGTCCAGTGCAAAGAATCGCCCCCTGCCTACTTCTTCTGCTCCCCTGCTGAAACTTTCAAACATCACCAGTCACTGAGTTTAGATGATCTCAGGTTTACGTTCTCTGGAAAACAACTGCGGTTGTCAGGAATCACAGCGCAGTTTCGGTGACGCATACTCCTGAGGAAGGATCCAAGGAGGAGTCCATGGCAAGCTGGCCATTCTGAACAACTTCTGGATAATTCTTACTGAAGTAAACCTAGAACAAATATTCTGTAAGTAATTATAGATTAACTGTACATTAAACTTTTAGTTTCAGATAAAATTCCTGGAGATTAACACCATATAGGTAAATACATTTCAATAAGGAATCAAAATAGGAACTTTAGATGAGTGGCATCCAGTGTCACTGAAAAATTAGTAAAATTACACTATGATCTTATACAAAGACTGAGAAAAACCCATACAACCTGTAGATCCACTCAAATTCTAGTAATTCAGATAAATAGATATATGTCATCGTTTTACATTAAACTGATAAGTAAAATCATTTTACTAGCTCAAAACATGGAGATAAATTAGAAACGGGGTGACAAAGAAGCTGTGAAATCTTGCGCCTGCACAAGGGTTTCTCATTTTCACACATAAATTGAACACAATGGATTTGGATGTTAATATCAGGTTGTAATCCCTATATTTTACAAACTATGATTGACAACCATTGAAACTTCGTGGTATACGTATGAAATATCCCAGCGTTTAATTTGTGCTGCAGAGCAGTTATAGGGCCTATAGAAATGTGATCTCTGGATAGTGAATCACAATAATGAAAGAAGCAAAAGCTTTAACAATAACTCAACCAAGCAACTTCTCTAAAATGTAAGATGATACCAAATAATAGGACAGTTCTTTGCCAAGCCTTTGAGTTCTTGAATTCTACCAATTTCTAGCTGAACTAGAAGAGATACAGGTTTCCTGATAAATGTATAATCAGAACATAAAGGGAATGAAATGCTGTCAAGTTTCACTGTTCCACAATCATCAGTTTTTAGTAGCTGTATCATATCTCTGTTCCTTGACAGATGCGCATAACAAAATGAAATAATGTCAAGACTTGTGTGCTCTTATCTAAAAATGTGTTTGGGTGAAAAAGGACTTCAAATGCAATTTTTTCAAAGAAGAATGTGAAAAGTTTTGTTTGCATCTTTAAAAACAGAAAATACACTATCTTTCTGCAGCTGACACATGTCACGAGTTAGGTCTCATATTCATCCTGCTCAGACTACGGTTTATGAAATATTTCTCCAATTTATACTTGGGAGTGCTGTCAACAAAGTTCAGCTTGTTTGATAATAATGTTCTTTTCATATATATGAATAAGACATGTGGGATAAAAAAGAAATAGCTATACTATACAAACACTCCTGAAAGTATCACTGTCTTCTTTTGTGTACACACACTCACGCATTCTATATGCACCTTTAGAATTTTCAAAGAACATTAACATCTGATTTGAATCAACAAAAGAATTGGAAGTCCTGTTAAGAAGCATTCCTCAGCAACCAGCCACAACAGGATGCAACAGAGGAAAGTTAATCAGGTGCCTGGCTGCACACAGGCTACAGAGACTGGAAGCTCAGTTGCATATTCCCATCATTTTCCCGGTTTAAAACAGAACTTTGACAAACTTCACTGTAGCCTTTGAATGTGATTTTTTTTTAAAGTTAATAGAAAACCTTGGCACGGTACTAGAGACATAATGAAATGGCAGCTGCTTTTCAACTGTCTCATTGCAATTCTTCCCCTGGGCCCAATCCCTCAAGATATTAAATGCCCAAGTCTTTATTCAAGCTTCTTCTGCTGCCAACAGAGCTGCAACCTTTTAAAAAGTAATCACTGAGGTGAGATAACAGCTAGTATTTTAATATTTACACATCTGTCATAGCTTTAATATAAAATCACCCTTATTTTCCCTCAAAGTATTCAAAACCTGATTGACAGAAAAACAGCCCTATCCCACTGCCACCAAAGTTTGTGGAAAAGCTTCCCTCAACCGGAGAACACATTAAGTTTTATCTGAATAATTGAGCACACTTTTTTAAACTGTCTGATGACTACATCTCACTTTCCCATAGGATTTTCTCCTAATAGCTTCCTGTAAACCCAACAAAGACCCAAACAGCTTCCTTCTAGGGCGCCATCCTGCAGAGACATATCTAACGGTGTCAAGCACGACCCAATTGCAGTCAGGCTCATGTGCTGCTTAGAATGCACCGAGCAGTCTCCAGCTTGAACTGTACTGAGGTTGTTTTCTTCTGCATTTGTGCAAAAATCAGGGCTACTCATTGACCAAAACAGACATGCAAATAGCAAGTTTGGATCAATCTGGAAGACTGAGCTAAGGTTTCAGGAGGTGTAGTGAACTTGAATAGCTGAATCTCTCAGTGCTTAGCTAGGATACGGAAGAGATTTTTTGGAAAATTAGGCTTCTTCAAAGACGTCTCAAATTAGGCTTCCAATTTAAAGTGCATAGTCCCTAGCCATTTATGATGGTTACTCATATGTGCATTGCATGAACTTAAAGAATATATGCAGAAGCTATACTGTTCCAGAAAATGTATTTGAAGTCTCACCTTACTGAAAGGAGCTCTTAGTACAAGTATGTTCTGCCCAAGATTCAGGTCCAAAATGCAATAAATCAAGTGATCATCATCAAAGCATGGCCCCGTTCCAGGCCACTTTACTTAGCAACCCACTGTAATGCCTTTTGAAACATACATATATATGCCATATTAGCATCTCTTTTCATGTGCAGCATGCAGTTTTTTAACAACAGAATAAAGCTGCTCTTCATAAAAACAGTTCTTAATAACCACAGTAGGAACGTATGAGACTTGTTACTGTAAAAAGAACAGCCACCAGAATCAGCTCTTCTAACTAAGCAACTTCTCTGAAGTATGCATGATGCACAAGGGACATCAGTAAAGAAAACCCTGAATTAATGTCCAAGTCATTTGAACAGAAAGAACTGTAACTGTGCTTCTGGATAGCTGCTGACTAGAGAGATAGTCTCTCTACTCCCATTTTTTTGGACGGAGTGTGGATAAGTACCATGCTTTGCATTCTTGGCAGATGCTAAGGCCTGTATCTGCCTTCTAGCCTGGGAGTTAGCAAACTTTTTCATCAAACCACATTTCAGCAAAGATTGGCTCCTGGATCTCTTCCCTTCCTATACAAAATCACATAACATTGATGTGGTAACTGCAGATGACTATATGGGCAAGTAACATCAAGTAATTATTTTTATATATTTTGAATTATCTTTGAATGCAATTGTACAACTGGGGAGGGCTGCAGGGAAGGAAGGAGACAACATGACACGGCTAAATCTCTACAGATAACAGCTAGACAGCCTCACCTTTAGCCATTCCAAGGATCAAGCCTTAGGAAGCTGGCCTTCACTTGACAAACACTGGTCATATGAATCTGAATCCATCCTTTGTAATGTAAGCTCCAGATTGTCATACATATACCATAAAAACATGGCTAACCCATTATACTTTCAGTAATAAAATGCAAGAAGTTCCATTGCAGCACTTCAGGAGGAGAGCAGAACTCATTAGATAGTCTATTTAAGGATAAAGCTTTCTCAAAGCTTTATTCCAGAGTTCTGCAATTAGTGCCATATATATGGCATATGCTCTTAGTTACAAAGCTTAACCTGAAAAATTCCCTAAAAAAAGGAGGGGGGATTTTAGTTCCTCTGAAAAAAGGCATCTCTTCCCTAACCTTCAAAACGTTCAATAAAACAGCCTCAAGAAAGGAGCATGTAGCCTCCACAACAGCACACTTTTTCAGGCCTTTACAAGATGCCAGTAATGTGTCCATTCTTCTCTGCAGATCCACTATTTTACTGTAGCCAGGTACCTGCCACTTCATTTCCTGTCTTTATGCACTGTTTCTTGCTCGTTCCTCTCTTTTTTTCCCAGGAAATAGTTTGCAATGTATGTTGCCATACTTCTGCTCCAGATCTCAAGCAGCGTGAGAAGAGGAAAGCACACGCGTCAGAGATAGACCTTTGCCTCCTACATTGAAAAGACTCTCTTAGGTCCCTACATGCCTAACCTTACTTGCAGGCTGAAAGTAATGCTAGATGAATATGAAGCAAGTTGCTCCCAACCTGAGCACTGGGGGTCTCAGCTGCAGCAGCGCTCAACTTTCACAGGCACAGAAGGAAATTAAAAACTTGCTTTGGACATCCTAGGCATTAAATTAGCACAAAAATAGAAAACAAGCGAAAAGCTAGTAAAAATGAGCTGTTCAATCACAGGTCACTTTTTATCTCATCTGTGCTTCAGCTTTCCATCTGAAAAGTGGAGATGATATAGCCTCACTTCAGAGGCATATTATGAAAATTAATCCACTGATGTTTCTTAACCACTTTGATTGCCAGAGGAATGCTCATAATTACACTAATAATTTTGTACTCTGAGTAGGATTTGACTATAAGTAGTAAGCAGGCACAGAGCCTTGTAAGGAAGAAGGAGGTAACAAAACGTTCAATGGCTATTTCTTAATTGAGCACCATTCATCTCACCCGTAGAATCAAACAAGAGTACAAAAACAAAGGAAGAAAAAGCACCATAAAAGGAACACGACTTCACCCTTAAAGACAATAAAACAATACACAGGTACTGATCCTGAAACTAAAATTGCATGGGTCCATATAAAAAATGTAGAAATAATAGAACTGAATGCTGGACCACGCAGCCTTAACACCCTTTTACAACAAGTTTTTGTAAGACCAAGGCCTACCATAGGCGAGTATGTCATATATTATTTACACATTGTGTGTACATATGGACGGATACAAAAAAGTCAGTCTTTCAACTCAGGGTACATAAATATCTATCATTTGGAAGTCTGTGTATCCCGCTAAAAAGCACTGAAAATGACGGTTTAGTCTTGCAAAGCTGACAGTGCCTTAAGTATAGGGGAAGGCTCACCCTAACACTGGACATGCTAACTTGCAAAAAACAAACTGCAGAGACAAAACTTAATTAACACTTCTTTTAAATTACCCGTTTTGCTGTTTCAATCAGAGAAGCTGCTTCAGTCTTGCCCACTTGTTGCACCATTTTGTAAAACAAACCATCTTTTTCTTGTAGTAGAATGTAAGGCTCATCATATTCTTTTAATCTTCCTGCATCTAAAACCTGTTAAATCAACAGAAATAAACTTATTAGCGTAAGAAATTTCAAAGCAAGTGTTAGAGACTTATTATAAGCAGGGTGCGTGGGGGACTATAAGCACTTTAAGTACTAAGACGAATTTTGTATCCTGTAAATGAAATCTTATGCCATCTCCAAACAAGCATAGCAATTCTTCACTTTATAGACCAGTTGTACTATATTTGAGTGCCCTACAGCCATTCTACCTATAGGAATTCAATGCAAAGTTATGCAGAATATGGAAATACAATGCTTGTGAAGCCAACAAAGCAGATAATAAGATTCATTGTGTAAGAAAGAAACAAAGGCCTGCTGCTGAGAGGCATAAAATGGGCTCTGAAGTAAACAGCTGTAGGTATAAATCAAGCAACAGCGACCAAGACGATCAGGGGAGAATAAGCAGGTCTTCTGGATTAGAGGAGGTGAAGATATAATTAAAGAAAATGAGGATGTTGCTGAAAAGATAAAACAGTTTCTTGCATCATTTTTTGCCAACTACAGATTAGAAAAATACTTACCCTGAACCTATTCTTTCTACATAAAAAAGATGACATGCCACCAGGGACAGAGGTACCCAAAAAGAGGATGGGAGAAGGAAAAAATATTAGAGAAATTAAACAGGCATTAAGTTGTTAGGCCACAGAGGACATATACAGTCAAAAATATTAAAAGAATTTAAGAATAAGCTGACTGAACCTCTAAGAACATATTCTCATATTAGTGACTCTTTTTAAGGACTGTATGCTAGCAAATACTGCACTTACATTTTGAAAAGCCTTAAAGGATCATGCAGGGAACTTTCAGACCAGTATATTTTTTTTTTTTTTTTAGATAAGAAAGTAACTTAGTCAAAACAATCATTAAAACAGAAACATAAGACACACACCAGATCACAGTTAGTAACTATTCCCCACAGTTGTAATAACAGTTGTACCTCACAAATCTGATTGATAGAATTTGTCAAATACACCAGAAGACAAGTAAAGGATAAATGGTTTATTTGGATTTTCAGAAATGTACCTGATGTAACTAAATAGTCAGGCTATAAGAGACAAAAAATATTCAAGAACTTGGATAGTAAACTAAGATTAGAAATAAATAGTGTATTTTTGCTGTGGGGAAAGCTTAACAGCTAAGAACTGGCAGGTACCACAGCATTCTGTGGTAGCTACTTATGTGTTAGTCATGAGAAAAAGGAGTTATCTGCAAAGTGACGAACCTCCAAACGACACAAAAGCATGCAGGTAAGTCTAGACCAGAAGATATTCAGATAAACTTAACTAACCTAAGTGAGTGAGCAACACAATAGCAAGGAAAAGTGAATATTGACAAATGCAATATACTCAAATACTCAAGTGGCTTACAAATTAATGGTATTGACTCAAGAAAGAGATTTGGTATCAGTCTGTAAGTTCAGTACCCTATTTCATGTGTAGGAGCAGCAAAGTTTAAAAAAGTTATGCGAGAAAATAAAGTAATACAGAAAATATTTCTGTTCTTACATAAATAAAAAAACTGAATACACCTAGCATGCTATTGAAAAAGATATTGCCGTAACAGACGGACTTCAAGGACTTATAACCAAAGCCATAATTGTGGTGTACATACTTGTAGAAAAAAAAGATCTATAAAAAAATGGGGCTGTTCATTTCAGGAAAGAAATGAAAAAAGGGTATCATGAGGACAACTTCCAAAATAACTTGCAAATTTATGTTTGAAAGAAGAAACTCCAGCGAGCTTGGAGATAAATTCAAAGTGTGGTGAGGCAACTTTCAAGCACGTGCAATTTGCCCGTGGAACTCCTTAAGGCAAAATATCCTAAATGGGAAGAGCTCGGCTGAATCTACAAGCGGACTGGGCACCTGTTAATCACAAAATACGCAAGGAAGTAGGACAGGTGAGCCAACCCATTTGGCTGCACCAGTGTGACAATGAGGCGCTGCTGAGATCTTTCTTTGACCCAAAGGACCCAACAGCAAGGGAAAGATTCCCACCCCTGAGCTTCCCATTCAGTTGAGTACATTACATCAAAACATGTAACAACTCAGCCAACTATAACAGCATAACTACATCTAATTTTATAAATTGTTTGCAGAGAAACCTACAAAAAGTTATCTTCTATTTTCAAAAGCTCCTGTCTTAGAGCACCCAGCCTGCACTGCGATTTCCTCCACAAGAGCCTTCCAGCACTGTTTGGTACATAGCTGAAGAAAATGCTAGCAGAAAAGCTTTATAACACCAGTAGCACCACACAGCACAATATGTAGTAATTTAATATACAACAGATACAGTATTTCCTCGGCAAAAGCACTTTTTGTACACATGGAGGTATTTCCGTATACTTAATCTTATCCCATTTAATTTGAATATTTAAAGATAAATTAACAATATAATTTTCATCACAATCTTTTATATACTTCAGTAAGTCATAGTTAAACACAGCTTCTTTAAGAATGGAATAATCCAGTATAGTTCTACATAATAATTGAATTTGGGTGCCACATAATAGGACATCTCAGGTGCCTTGAAAAAGTAATTTTTTCTTCAGCATACCACTATATTATGTAACAACTCCTAGAGAATTGAAGAAAAAACATATTGAATATGTGTCTCTATGTAGAAAATCAGACTCTTAAAAAATTTTGTATTACTGCAGTATTCAGATTCTGCTACATTAACAATAATTTTGCAAATATTTGAAACAGTCATAAACATGGACAAACTTTCTCCTCCAAAGAACCTGGGAGGGAAAAAAGGAGAAATCTACTCCTCCTTGACAGGTTTTAAACAGCCAAGTCCAAAAGCGGAACAGACAGGGCAATCTGTATCTACAAAAATTACATTCACATTTTAAACAAATCATTAAGCTATTAATGTCCTTTCTTGGGAAATAAAAATACAAACTTGTGTTATGAAAATAGATAGAACAAATATAGGACAAATAAAATTTGTGTTATTTTTAAAAATCTCAGATGAAAAAAAGAATGAAACAGAACAGACAACATTGTTCTTACAAGTCAGGAATATTCCATGTACCGTGTTAACTAAGAAAAAAAAGTATTTCTATTAACTGTTCTCATCTATGTGACAAAGGAGAGAATTAGAGCTGATTTACTTGTAAGTTATACATTTATATATTTATACATTTATTAAAAAGTGCTTATACAAAGAGATAGGTACTCTTCTTTGAAGAAATATGTGCTGATAAAATTTAAATAAACAAACAGATACTTTGGCTAAGGCTTTGCATACTCTTACTCACTGACTCCAAGCAAAATTAAAATCATTAAGACTTCAAAAAGCAAGCTAATCATTCAGGAAAGGTGGAATCTGGTATTTACTAGCCACATATTTTCTGATCCACTTGCATGCAGCTCTTATCACTGTACAATATGACTGAATTGAACCCAGATACATTCCCAGGCAGTTGTACCTGTGGAACTTGATACAGAAAAAAAAAAGGAAGCTTATAGTTCGCAAAATCCGATCGGCACAGTGATTACGGAGGTCACACAAAAGAGTATGGGACTTGAAATAAGACTGGGATTTCATTATAAACTTTAACACAGACCTTAGAGACAGAGATGTTGGACAAATCATCTAACCTTTCAGTTCCTCAATCTGACCGTTTGCAAAATAGACCAAACAAAGCCTCATAATCATGCTGTGGGTGTTAACTGTCTGTGAAACAATTAGACAGCTCAAAGTATATCAATAGCCCAAAGTATATCAACCCAAAACACTTGTATGTAAACCAGGACCAGATTCTCCACTGCTTTGCACTGGCAGCCTCTTTTATATCCTCTGCACTGCTCTTGCCTTTGTAGTCAGAGCCTCATGACTTCAACAGGATTTTCCCATGTGGAAGAGTAACTCCTACAGTACAAAACTTACAAACTGGGACATTGGTGATCATGCAGAAGACGGCATGCAGGAAAACTCTTAGTGGAATTTACTCCCCTCCTTATGTATGGTGAAGCTGATCTTTACTAACATCTACCCAAATTATCTTTATTCAAGCAGTCCTGTTCAGGTATTTTATGTTCTACCAGTGCTTAAACGCTATACTGCTCTTGACTAAAAAACCTCCATGCCATCTAATTTCACTCCATCTCATGTTTTGTTTGGGTTGAATATTCCGGGCAGCGACTGCTCATCACAGTCATGAAATTTTCAGAAGCACAAGTGCCATGCTGGGCAGAAGGTAAAGCAGTTTTGACATGGAGACACAGAATAGCATAGAAAGAGTGGGATTAAAAATATATGGGGTGTGGGGGAGAGTGGAGCAGAGAAACACAAAAGAGTGATTTGTGACCTGCAAAAGCAACCATGAAAATAGAGTATTAGCCACATCAATGTGTTGTTTATGTTAACACTAGCTACCACAGAAGAGCCATTTGCTTATGCCACAAAAATGTTGCTGAACTAAATTTGAATAAAGTTTGGCTACCACAGGGTAGTCATCCACTTTTGCCTCAACTGTATTCTGCCAAGAAAGTTACCTCTACTCTGTCTAGGCTCCCCAAAACACCAAACTTTGCAATATTTTTATTCCATAATCTCACTTTTTTAAATGCATCAACTCTGCTCTCTATGGACAAATTCAGTGCAGGGGGAAGAGTGGGGGAGTGCTCAGTAACTGAGCTGTCAAATAATAGCACAATAAAGCTAAAGTATCCACAGCAAATACAGAGCTGGCCAACAGACTTCCTAGGCATATAAATATTTGGCTTAACTACTAGTTTAAGTGAGCGTTATTCATATGCAGAATATTTCTCTCAGTCAGATTAGTTTAGACATTCAAAACATTTCGGGAGCTGTTTTCATGCTGCCATTTGTGTGTGACTTAATTAGGAAAAAAAGACAAAAAGGAAAACATAAAACGGTGAAAAGAAATCAGAGATCCATTTTGCAAAGGAAAGAGGAGAAAAACAGGGCAATGAAGGCAAAGGAAGAATATATTCTATAAAGAGAGCCCAAATTTC